TGTGTTTCCAGCTCTGCAAGGTCCCTAAAGAGATTACACTGAAGCTCCATCAAAAATCCAGCTGGTCCAGAGAAAACATGCCTCTCTAACCCAAGTGAGAGGGGAGAGGTTCACCACTAAAATAGGACAACTGCCCACAGCAACCCTGGGACAGGCCTGGTATTGCAGCACCACAAGTAGCACTCAGAGGCACCTCAGACTCCCAAGGTTTCAAGTAGTCTGTAGCTAGATGTAGTTACCATGTAATTATATAGCTACAAGGCTGAATATAGCTGAAAATCCTGACCTGTAGGACTTGGTCATGATGGTGACTAACAGAATCAAAAGCCTGGCATGGAAACTTCACACACTCCACTGAGGCTAAGTTGAATATTTTTTAAAGCAAGAAGAAATCAAGCCTCTGAATCAGTTAGAATTACTTTTAATTGCTAGTCAACAATTCCTCTCTTCAATATTCATCTACCTCTGGGTACACTGGCGCCTATTTGAGAGGGGCACATGCCTGTAATTATCCATGAGAAGAAGGCTAGACCTGTTAAGTCTGATGCATTGTCATCTGTGCTTCAAGACAACATTTATACAGAAGTCAGGAATAAATCACAGGATTTAATGTCTCAGATTAGAGTTCCACCACATTTTCCCTCCTTTCCAGGCTATTTAGCATATTTTATATTAACATCTGTGACACACTTAGCATTAATACTTCGTAACTAACACTTTCTCATCACTCTGCCCAAGCTTCCACTCCATGTCTTTTGCCTCCAATTTTAATTCATTTTATACTCCATTTTATAGAGTTCTGTGTAATCAGAGGCAAATTGTTCTGAAACTCATTAAAAATATATACATCTTTCTTTACATATCTTGCTTTGCAAAATGCTGTTGCAATTTAGTCCCTCTCCTCTTCTGCTTTTACTCATTTCTCTGTATCTTCTGTTATTGCCTGTTGTTTGTTTGTACACTGAGACAACATGTCTGATTTCTGATTCATTCATCAACATTTCTGCAAAGCCCCAACCTCCCTTCTCCACACTAATTTCCGAAGTAGATTCTCCTGCAGAAGCTACCTGTATTAAAACACTACTTCCAAAGCAGCTACTTCAACAAAACATTAAAAAATCCTTTTTCAATTTCCCCTTTTTATTTGCTTGGGTGATTGACAGAACTATAGCTCTGGGACACCCTCTCTGAGCAGAATTCTGTCTCTCCTTGTCAGAAGCATGTAAGTTTGTTGATAATGGCCTGAATATATCAAGACATCCACAGCTACACATTTGATTAAAACGCTTCTACCATCAAGAGCTCAAGGCAAAGCTTAATTCTAGATTTCACATGATGGAAGGGACCATTATGATCATCTAAATGTAATTATACATCATAGATTGACTTATATTCAAGAGAAATGCTATATGCAGTGTCCCACACTGGAAGAGCATGCCATTTTTCACTTCACAGAGGAGTGTCAGCTACAAGATTTGTAGTCAGTAATTGGGTTAAAGTATTGAATTGATAATAATGTTCCAAAGAAAATCTACCCATTATTAAGATAAATAGAAGAGGAAAGGAAAAAAAAAAAAAAAAAAAAAAAAAAAAGTATCTTATTTTAAAATAATTTGCTTCGTATTTTTCCTTCCTTGCCCTCTGACAAATACATCATGTCGGGAAGATAATTTGTCTTCTACAGCAAATACTTAACATTACTTTAAGACATAACAGTGCAAAATACAGCAGTTAAAATGCTTTATCACAGCTCACACTGTACTCAACACATACTGACAAACAGCATCAAATAAAAATACTGCCCAGCTTTAAATGGGATTTTGACTGAAACACTGGGAGATGAGATAGCTTGTCACCACAAGTTAAGAAGTGGGTGAAAAATGTGACAACTGCAGTTTTAAGAAGCACAGATATTGACAGACAAAGGACAAAATAACAACCAAAGGGCAAATCATTATTTTCTTGTGTGAACAGCCTAATTTTCGATACTTATGCTTAACTGGTTGCCCAAAAATAACAGTCCCTAAGCAGGTTCACCTCCAATTCAGAAATCTCCAAACCATATATTTTATTATTATTTTTTTTTTATTTATCTGCAAAAGCAGCCTGATCCTGTGATTTCTGTAAAACAAACTAATCTGGGTCATGTATGCAAGCTATTACCTTCCTAATTCAGCTATCCCTAAAAACACTGCAGGAATGGTGTTTACCCTCACCTTTGTTTTGGGTGGCACACTCCAGAAAAGCCTTTCCAGCAATGAGCTGATTTATATTATTAACAAACCCTTCAAATTCTTCTTTGAAACCCTCTGTGGTTCAAACCATTAGCAAGTCAAGCAGCTGCGAATTAGAAATTGAATTTATTTAGGGGAATCACCATCCTAATCTCCAGGAAGCCAGTATTACAAGACCAACAAAAATTACTGGTTAAAGAAGACGTTGCCTAGCAAAGGCTAAACAGACACACCAAGACAACCCAAAATACAGAGACAAGCAACTTTCCTGATAGCCTGTAAACTAAAACGTGCACTCAAAGGGATACCTTGATCCTAAATATTTGGAGGAGAAGAAAAGGAAAAAAAGACTTAGAAAAATGTACAATTATATTCTGGAAACCAAGTTTAATTTCATATCACCTTCCACACAACACATTTGCTTCAATAGGTCGCACACGGGATTAACTTGGCCCACAGAAGCAGGAAGTTGTCTAATAAGAGCAAACAAGGAAATTTAATAGCTAATGTATTTCTGTGCAAGTTCTGCATAAAGCAATTCTTTCTACTTTACATTGTCTTATTTTTGAAGCGAGTAGAATTTTTAGAAGCAAATTCCTATATGTTCACCCTCCTTCCTCAATATTGTGAAGTGTCAGCTCTCCGTGAGATATCTCAACTTTAGGAAGATTTCAAAAACCCTGCGTTTACCAGGAAAGCATACAAGGGAATCAGCTCTTTTGCAGTGGCCTCTAATGTATCTCAAGATCCCAACCACTGCTTAGATTATCCCTAATGATCATACAGGTTTTCCCTGAACATACTCAATAGCAAGAAGATTTTCTGTCACTACAGATCAGTCAACATCATACAACAGGTAACACAAAGGAGAGTTATAGTCCAAAGTTAATAACTTTATTTTCAAAAATTAAACTAAAGAAAACCAGCAACAATGAAAATCAACCAGGTAGGCAGTTTTCATAGACTAGAACAGGATGCTACTAGAGTCTTATCTCATACTGCAAGAAGGAAACCCAAAGGACTAAAGAAGTTTTGTTAACATAATCCCATAAAATCATATCAATTTAACAGGCAGGGATGTAACAACATCAGCAGGATTTTTTATTTTTTTTGGCCTGTCAGTGTTATGCAGATACCTTGCTGCAGTGAGTGCTGTCCTGAATGCAAATTACCTTAGCTCCCCAAGAACCACGCTGTAATGTCTGAGAACACCAATGTACAGTACAATGCCAGCAGGCATATTTAGGCAAAAGGGAATGTGACAAACAGCCCAGAAATGGTGTGAATTTGCACTTAAGTGAACAAAGCCAAGGAACCAGTGAAAGATTTGAAGTTCACAGGAAGTTAACCTAGTCTGTGCATAGCAAGGATGGAGGTGAATATACCAGTAACAGAAAAAAAAAAAAAGCTATTTATGTCTATGATAGCAAGTTACAGTGTCCTTGTGTTCAGAACTGTTTTCACTACACAGATAAATCAAGTTAAATCAGTGGATATACAACCTTCCAGGACAGTGTAATCCAATGCGGTATCAAAGTACTGCCATGCTCACCCTTTGCAGAGCTTTTGGCTTGCAAAAGGTGCTGAACAAGCAAGCAATAACTTACACCTACTTCTTGGCAGACAGCTATTTTTGAGTTAAAACACATGCTTGCATTTGAAGATTTGCTCCAGTTAGTATGAATTCTAACTTGGCAGGGAAAAAAAAAAAAAATTCCAATGGTTATTCGATCAAAAATGGATTTATTAATCATGCTAACTCCACCGAAAGCTCTTCTCTAAACTGCCTCCAGATATGAGCCTTGACATTTCCCAACCATTTCAAAGTATCTCTGAAGATTCCAGTACTCTTTTGTTCAAGTCCTTAAATTAATATCGAATTCTAAACAGAAGTCATTTTCACTCATTCCTGTAGGTTGTTAAACACACCAATCTTTATCAAACTTCAGTGCTAACAGAATTCAATCACAATTTTGCTTACGACAATGAACCCAAATGATTTGGACAATAGTATGATGGAGAGAGAGATTTCCATTAGAAGTTGGACACTTAGATTGAAAGACACAATGAAAGACTGATGCCATAACATACAACTTAAGTAGCCCATTTCATCATTAAAGGCATTTTCAAACATCACCATGAATGGAAATACTTCCAGATCTTATCTCCCAGCACAGAAAATCTGCAATATTCCTTTCTTCACCAGGCCAATGTCAAAGGCTGTGAGGACATTCTTAAGTGTAAGGAATTGCACTACGTCTTAAATCTTCTCACTAAATAACACACAATTTATTAATCTGATAAGACTTCTGATAAGCTTGCCATTTACAAAATCCAGATTTTATTTCAATGTATTTATACACTACAGTAACTAGTGATACATCTAGTTTCTTCAATTGCTTGTCAGATGCAGACCTGAGACAACTTTAAGAGTCCAGTCCTCAGGCAAAACATAAATAACTACTGTATTTCACAACACCTGGTGGAGACTGACTGGAGATGTGAGGTCTATAGTAACTCCTCCTTCCCTCCAGAAAGGATTTCAACCAGGCCAAAGGTACGCTCTGGCTTTACAAGGCCTCTTAAAATCCAGTTAGTGTTTTGCAAGCTGGAAAAGAAAACATAAGCACTGTATTTTTTATTTTTTTTTTAATGGGAGAAAGAACACACCCAGCTTTATGTTGCACCTGAGGATTAAAGTTTGTACTTGCAGAATCAAGGCAAGAATCATAAATTATCTTTTATCAGCAGCAGGTGCAGGTTGCATTCTGACCACAAAGAGGCTATGAAACTAGCCTGGAAACAAGGCTATGAAACTATTCTGGAATTACAGGGTGATGGAGCACATTCTGCTGTAGTCACTGCCAACCAGAGGAGCAGGTAAGGAGCTACAGACCCACTAAGACCTTTATTTCCTCATCTTCATTGTGTTACTTTTTTCATATTAGCAATCATGATGCAAGGAAGTACTATGATCAATGATACAGGAGGATGAAATCCTTTAAGTCTTCCAACTACAAATACAGCTGCTAATTCCAATTTCCAGGTGTAATTATGATACTCTATCCTTATTTGTGCATACTCATGTTCAAATTAAGCATGCCTCTTGCCTGGGAATTCCTAAAAAGACAACCCCCCGACATCCTGTTCCGTATATTTCATACATTGCCGTTCCCAGCGATACAACACGCGTGCGCTGGAGCTTTCAGACTTTGTTTTGTCCGCTTTGGCCTTCCACATCCATAAAGCCGAGCTGCTGCAACACGAGCACAGCACGTCACGCCTGCTGGAGCGCTCGCTGCCATCACATCGCAGGATCACGTGCTGCATATATATGTATGGGGGTGTGCATTAATCTGCTCATGAGCAAAAACTTTCTGCAATTCTTGAGTGGACTTTAAGCCAGCTTACTGTTACGGCAAGCCCAAGGTAACACCTGCAACCAGCCTGAGCTTATCGTGGCTTTTACCCGCGCTGCGCGAAGCTGATGCAGCTGCCTTGTGGAGCGTGACAGGTGAAACGCTCCTGGCACAGGTGCGCTGCTGAAAGAAAGGGGCGAGGAGAAAGGAGGCGAGGGAAGGGCAGCCACGGCTGCGGTGGGCAGTACCAAGCACCAGGCAGGTTCACCACCGCAGCAAGCCCGACCCGGGCAGGGGCTGGGGGTACCAGCGAGCCGTATCGCCGGGCACCCCCAGCCATGTCCCCGGGGCGAAGGGCTTCGTGGAGGGGCCGATAGGGGTCGTGGGGAGCTGATAGGGACCGATAGGGGCCGTTACCTGCCGGCGGCCCCCGGGCGGCCTCCCCCCACGGGGGGCCGGCGGGGCAGGTGCGCGCTGCTCCACTGGAGGCGACGGCGAAGCCCGGGGTGGATTTCCTGCGGATGGCTGTCCGCCTGAAGTTTATTCCCTCGGCTCGGTTCATCCTCGGGGCGGGGGAGAGACACAGAGAGGCAGAGTGAGGGAGAAACCCACGGGTCCTCAGCGCCCCTCCCGCCCGGGGTCCGGCGGGACCGGCATAGCCCCCAGGGCAGCGGCAGCGCCTCCGTCTCCCACCCACAGCGCGGCTGCGGCCGCCTCCTGAGCCGGCCCCTTACCTGCTCCCCGCCTCTCCCTCCCTCCCTCCCTACCTGCCCAGCCCTGCCCTGCCCGCGGTACCTGCCCGGCAGCCGCCGGCCCCAGGCTCTGCCCCCCCCCGGCTGTACGGAGAGTCCGCGGCCGCCGCCCTGCCCGGCCGGGGCCGTGTGGGAACTTCCCCGAGCCGCCGGCCGGAGGAGCGAGTTCCCCCCCGGGGAAGTGGGCGCCGCGGGCGCGCAGCCGCTGCCAGCTGGGGCCGGCACAGGGAGCGGCCCCGCCGTCACGGCTGAGGGGGCTAGCCACCTGCACCGTGCCCATTGCAATAGGTGTTCCCTTCCCCGACATCGCAGCCGTTTGTTTCTCCCCGCTGGGCGCTGCCCTCTGTCACTGGTCAGCTCTGAAATGCCTTGCCTAGAAGGAGGTCCAGTTCCTGTGGGATTTGTTGGTGTATGTAAAAGAAATTGGCCATAAAGTGTTACCCCTCTGCTAAAGAGAAAATCAGAGAATATCCTGAGCTGGAAGGGACCCACAAGTATCACTGAGTCTAACTCCTGGCTCCACACAGGACCACCCAAAAACCAGACCCTGCATCTGAGAGCACTGTCCAAATGCTCCTTGAACTCTAGCAGGCTCGGTGCTGTGACCACTGCCCTGGGCAGCCTGTCCCAGTGCCCGAGCACCCTCTGTGTGCAGACCCTTTCCCTAACCCCCAGCCTGACCCTCCCCTGTCCCAGCTCCATGCCATTCCCTCGGGTCCTGTCGCTGTCCCCAGAGAGCAGAGCTCAGCGCCTGCCCCTCCGCTCCCCTTGGGAGGCCTCCCCCCTCAGCCTGCTCTGCTCTAGGATGATCAAACCAAGGGACCTCAGCCACTCCTCATACATCTTGTCCTCCAGATCCTTCACAAACTTTGTAGCCCTCCTTTGGACACTAATATTTTTATGCCCTTCTTACATTGTGATGCCTCAGACTATAAACTGTACTCAGGGTGAGCCTTTGAAAGCTCAGAGTGGGACAAATCCCTTTCCTCAACTAGCTAACAGTGCTGTGCCTGATGCACCCTAGGGAACTGTTGGCCTCCTGACCACCAATGCAGACTGTTGGCTCATGTTCAGCTTGCTGTCCACCAAAACCCCTAGATCCTTTTCTACGGGGCTGATCTCCAGCATCTCATCCCCCAGTCTGTATGTACATATAGCCAGGGTTACCTCCTCCCAAGTGCAGAATCTGGCACATACCCTTGTTAAATTTCATATTGCTGATGATTGCCCAACTCTCTAATTTGTCCAAATCTCTCTGCAAGGCCTCACCGCCCTCAATGGAGTCAACAGCCAAAACCAAAAGGTTGATATCTTGCAGCCCCCTCTTTCATATCCAACAAAAATGAGGTAGTCAGATCACCTCCTGGATTTCGTGGTCTTGCAAACATTGGGGTTTCCTTTTGCAAACATACAAAGAAGCTGTGACTCAGAGGTAAAAGACTAATTTATTTCCTGACTTCAGTCACCTGAGCTGGGCTGGGCACATGGAAATGACTATACCTGTGTTGCGAAGAGCAGAAGGTACTCCTGCTGACTTCACTGCACCAGGAGAGCTACAGATTCTTGTAAACTAGCTATGTATGGTTAATGGATATGTACTAGAAGATCAATCATTAACTTTTTCAGATAAGTATCTTGTTCCAGAAGACTGGCACACACTTAATTCTTCATCTGGACTCATACTGAGTATTTAAGCATGGAGAGAGAAGAAAGGCAGAGAATTTCTCATTAGTAATTCCCAAAGCACTTCACTGAGCAGGCAAGTATGAGGCTCCTTTGACAGGGAGGAAAATGAGGTATTACAGGGAGAAGTTATTTGCTCAAAGTTGTCCAAGATGCCAGTACAGTAATAGAATACAAAATGGTAATTTATGAGAAAGTGAGACAGCAAATAGAAGACCTTCCTCTGTTTGTGTTATATATGATAACTAAACTGACATCAACTGAAGTTATTACCTGGTTGCTCAAAATGCCAATTGTTAGCCAGGCATAATTATCACAAGTTATTAAATTTTGTACTTGCTCCTTCAAACATGGAGTTCTGCTCCTGGAAGGAAAACAGCTAAAGAAACAAGGACAAGTACACACACCCCACAAATCCTACCCAAATGGTATTAACTTTGTTTTGTATGATGTTATCAGTGAGTGGTAAATTACTGCAATGTGACTTGGGAAAATAAATAAAATACCTCAGAACAAAAGAGAATACCTCAAAGAATCCTGGTGTCTCTGTGCTGTAGCATCAGCAGATTGGCTGCAAAAACTCATTTTCCTGGGCAAATCCTTCTTCAGAAGGACACCGAGGTATGTAACACAGTGAGGTGACAGTCTGTGTTAGAAGGAAGTCATGCAGTCAGTGGATTTATGGTAATTTTAGGGCATTTGTACACTGTGGAGCAGTACAGGCCTCTCAGAGTAGGTAATTGTCCCTCTACCCATCACTTAGCAACAGCACAGACCTGGGCCAGCTGGTTGAAGCTGGCTTGAACTACTGTCCACCAGCAACACGTATGTTCTGCCTGCTACCACGTGGTAACAAACGGCCTCCCTTCTGGTGTGCCCTTCCCTTTTTTAACACACTGCTCTCAGTCTTTCATGTTCTCCATCTCTTGGCAGAGACAGACTTTTGGCAATGTCAGGAAGAGGAACAACATCTTTCTAATCATAAAAAGTCAGAAATAGATGTTATCTTGGAAAACATCACCTTGAATGATTAAAAGTTTAGTGTTACAATAGGAAACAGGATCTGAGAAAAGAAAAAATTGAAAAAGCTTAAACACAGACAAAGCTGCCTATTCTGCTTAAAATATGTGACATTACTTGACTGAAAGTCCTGCATCGGACCTCCCACCCTAGACAGTGTGTGGGAAGAGCTACATACCCCTTTGCTCTATGGCAAGAGAGGTAACCAGTAAGCCACAGCTAACCCACATTCAAGTGTGGGCAATAGCTGGGCCATCTGGCTCTAAGTCTTTCTGTGAGGGTGGTGAGAAATGCAGTGGTGGAAAACTCATTTAATTATACCTATTTGCATGTGGGAGGTACAACAGGAACCATATGGAAACCCACAGAGGTGCAAAAGGTGGCAAGGACAGCTGGCAAAAAAAAAAAAAAGAAATAAAATGAAAGAGCAAGTGAAGGGCTTGAAACTATTCACTTTGTGCTGCTGGATGACCAGAGCATTCAGGACCTTGAAAGAAACAGGACCTTGAAGTCAACCTTTTTTTAGTTTGTAAAATGCTTCACTTTCTCTCTGTGTAAAACATTGGGCCCTCAGTATACGTCTTTGTAGCAACCTTTTCTTCTCCGAATGGAAACAACCTTTAGAAGACTGGATTTTGACTGCTTGAGACCGCTTGTTTCTATTTTTGCATCTGGTCAAGTTTCTTTATTTCTGCTAGAGCTTATCTTTATTTTCATCTGAGTTACAGTTTAAATCTGTTCCTGAATTCAGTCTATGTTCCTGGCTTCAGGTTATGGCCTCTAGCTTTAGTTTCCCTGAGTACTTCCTTGTGCTGTACCTCTCAGTAACTCTGTGGAGTAACATATTTCTGGAGCACTAATCTACACCCTAAAGAAAGAATGCACATGAACTCGGCACCTAACAAAAAGGAAAGTATAGCATTTCAAAGAATTACACAACATTACCTTATTTAGAGTAGCTTATTTAGAGCTGATGTGAATACTATGTTCATTGACATCTGACAGAAAAATGCCATTCTCTGTTAAATACTAAATAAAAATTAAAATGGGGTTTATGATATAAAAGACCCATACTTCTATACAAAGCTAAGCAAGCCAAATCCTGACTAAGTCAGGATATAGATCATCATATATTTTGCATCTTCTGTGAACTAAATATTGTATAACCCACAAACCAGTTCTGCCAGTAGGGAAGTACAATGAAAACAAGAACCGATATACCAAAAGATACGGTAGGATACTAATTAGAGAAGAATCTCACGCATCTCAGGCCTTCATGCACATTCCAGATGAAAAGTCTCTTCTGATGGCAGCAGCAGTACAATGCACAAAGCAGCTGCAGTGTGTGCAACAGAGATACACAGAACAAGCAAGTAAATGCGAGGGAGTTACTTAAACTCAGTTAAGTCAGCAGGCAAACACAGGATCCAGCATTCAAGGACATAATGTGAATTTTAGCCCGAGGCTGTAGACTCTGGCTTCTTAGTCTGGAGAATGGTTTACAAAGATTAGAGGGACTCAAGCCTCGTGCTTGCTCCCTGTGCAGCACCCAGTGTGCAAGTCAGAACAGGGAGACAATTTACAGTTTTATACTGGCTTACACTGACAGATACACTAAGCTGTTTTGTTATTTACTCCCCACCACAAAGTGCGGTACACGTGGTCTCTTAAGTGTGGTTTTACATCTACGTGAGAAGGAGCTGTAGAGTCAGTAGTGTGAATTGTGAGCTAAACATCAGAAGTAACCCATGACAAGAACTCTAGGGAGTTTTAGGTAAATCCTAGGTATTTGCTGCTGGAACAAAAAAAAAAAAAAAAAAAAAAGGATGGGTAGGTACTCACCAGAAGAAAGGCCATGACAATTTCTTTTAGCCCAGTCAATAACATTCCTCATACAGCTCTCCTGTTTTGTCTATTTGACTGTATAAGACAGAACACAGATGTTGTCATCTGGGGCCCTAGCAAAAGTAGTTGGGGCCAACCAGCAACAGGTTTTGTAGGCTTCCAACCACTCTAAGAACCATATTAAACCCCTACAGCCAATGTTTCCTTGTCTACTGCAGAGTAGACCACCAGATGAATGCTCATATGTAGCTCTGCAAGAGTACCACTGGGATAATGAAAGGAAGAAACCTTCCTGCCTCCATGTTAATTTTGTCTTACCTTTTTTTTTTTTTTTTCCTGCTGTGCAGAAGCATGTTGTCTTTTGCAAGCAAATTCCTGTAATTTGTAGAAATGTGTTGAGAAAAATGTTGAGATAAGGCTATCACATATATCCCTTAGTTTTACTGAAGGGTTGCTGCTTAGAGGAGTAATTGCTATTTAATCAGTTTTGTTAGGTAAGTCTTGCTGAATGGCATTGCTCTAACAAACTGATTGCTTTTAGAAGTCTCAGAATATTCTTCTTTATCAGCACCACAGGTTAACGAAATATGTTTCCCAATATCCAGTGAATGCCAGACATTTAGATATCATTAGCAAAAGTACTTCAGCTTTGATTTAAATTAACTACAGCTGAAAGCAAGCTTCAGTAAGGTCATGTTGGTAAAAGGGAGAGAGAAAACAAGATATGCTTGAGAAAATGTTATACTCTCCTTCTGTTTCTTATTTCCTTCTGCAGGAAGACCTGACAGCCACTATGAAAAAGAGTTTAAAAAACCCACCATAGGCTAAGTTCCCCATCTGAGACATTTGAATGAGGTCTGATTTCCAGGGTGGGGGTGCCAGCTCTTCAAGGTGTTCCCCACACCCCATATCAGTACTCTCTCTAGCTTTTGCCAGAGTAAGTTATATTCACTGCTGGAAAAAAAAAAAAAAAAAAAAAAAAAAAAAAAAAAACTGATCCTGACAGGGCCCACAAGTTGCTTGAGGTCTGACGGGAAACTGTGTGCCAGCTTTTCCCAGAGGCTGCCAGGGAGCTGTCTGGGGACTGTGCTAATTGTGCTGATGGTGGCAGAAGCCAGTTCCTTGCTGCCATCTCTTCTGGGCCCCACAGCTTCTTCCTCTTCTTGGAGGGGTCGTCCATACCTAGTTAGGTGATGGGAAAGTCGGTAGTGACTCCTGGGACCATGAACCATGGACCATGAACCAAAATGTGCTTTGCCATTGCTTTGCATTTATTCACAGTGCCTCCTAACCTCAGCTCTTTGTTGGTGCTATGATGTATGGGGTCGTACTTGTTTAAAGAGCCATATATGTTGTTACAGTGCTGCATACATTAAATATTAGCTGTTCTGTCTACAAATGCTTACCTAAACAGTAAGCAAATGTTTTGGTCCTCTCCTTAACAAGTCAAGCCCTAGAGAGCAACGGGCTGATCAAACATTTGAAAAGAAAGGCAGATTATTAGTTCCAGCTCTGGAAGAAAATATAATGATCTCAATATTGCAGTACTCCCAAAACTTTGTTTCTTATTGTAAAAACCAAGCTGTCAGGTACTTCAGATTTCTCCTAATGAGGAGGCATATGGTACAGGCACAGGAGTCTCAGCATGCCTCTTAATAATTTATAGTGACTTTAAACAGAGAGACTTCAAAGCTGTTGCTGCATTTGCAGACTCTTCTAAGTTAGCTGCCTTCATCCACCTTTGTTTTCATTCATTGTATTCCACAGACTCCTTGGATCTTTCTGGTTTGAAAAGTGATTATTTGGAACAAAAGCTCTGAAAAGGATATAAATGTTGGTCCCATTCCACTTAAACTCTTTCTTGTATCCCAAATCTCAAAAGTAGCATTCCATTCATATTTATATATATATTTAATGCATTTTTGGATAACTATATGTCACAAACAGACCTTACCTCCAGAGATCTAACATTGTCTAATTTTGGAACTTGGTACTTCAAGCAAATTTTGCTGTATACATCTCAGGCTTTATGCACTGCAAATTTGTTTACCTTTACCATACAGAACTGAAACATGCTTTTATATACAAGCATAAACAGCACTATGCATAACTGCATAGATAAGGGTTGCTCATCTTATAGATGAGAGGAGCATGGACTGAGACTTCAGAAGCTCTAGAATCTTAAGTCGGACTCTGTCACATTTCCACACTCATGATTTTGAATACAGTTGTTAAAGGAATGCAGTCAATTTAAAGGAAATCCGAGTTCTCTACCAGAAAAAGAACATCTACATGTTACTGCGCTGACACTGTTGGGGGGAAAAATGTTTTCATCTTGGGCCTCATGAGTCAAACTGCCTTTTTAGTCTACAGGCCTGGCACACACGGAGAAGGAGGACATAGGCCTAAATAAACTAAAACAAGAAAGTGAATATTAAACCTCTGCTATTTATAGTGAGGGTCTATTATTAGCAAGCACTGCAGGGACAGAGATCCAGCTCTGAATGAACTCAAATACTAGAGAAATGCTGGTTCTATAGCATGGGCTAGCACACAGATTAAATAACTCACCTTGCTACCACATCTAAAACACTTGGTGTTCATGTGTATGCAGGAGAGATACATGTGGAGAGATGGAAAGTTAAGTGTACGGAAACTTCTATTTTATTGCACGATGATGATGTTTTCCATCCTCTGAGTCTCAATTTGTCTATCTGTAGGTGAGAGATAACAGTACCCATTTTGAAAGATGTTTTGGGAATTAATTAATATGCATAGAGTGCTCTGAAGATAAAAAGAACTAATTTGCATTTGGCTTAGATAACAGGAACCTTTGAAAGCAGTGGTGGCTTCACAGAGGCTTTTTTTTTTTTTCAGCAGCTTAGGACTTTGAGATTGCTGGTATTTGTATGCAGTGCATTTATATAACATTATATAATAATTTTAAATTTTGCATGGTTCAATTTGAGTCACAAGCCGGTTACAAGAGCACAAGACACTCCATGTTGTGCCCACATTCCTCTAATCTGCTCCAAACATGTAAATACCCAATATCCAGATGGAGCCCTTTCAACTCCAGTGGAGCCCTGCCCCGACCTGGGGATCTCTTTAGATCACATTTCAATGGAACAAGCTGAATGCCAGGTCCATTCACTCGACCAAATCAGGTTTCCCATCTGACTTTGAATTACCTTAGTCAAAACCCATCTGACTTTCAGAGTACGTTTCCCATTCTAAGGTCTGCTGGCAGCACCTGTAAGGCCATGAAGGAGAGCTGTCTCTTCACCTCAGAGCACTAACAAACTGCACTGCTGTAGTAAGACACCTTACTTGGATGGACGGATCAGCACTGAATCATTTGTGCGTACAGAGGTTGTGTGTCTCTAACAGAGGTTTCCTATTTCTATAGCAAAGCATTTTATTTTTGTATAGGTGGATAGAAGATGGGTACTTGTTGCGATGGTTTCGCAACAGGTACTGTAAACACAGTAGCTCTTTTTCTCCAGTTGCCATATGCCTTTACCACTTCTGTAAGGTGAAACAAAATATAGGGCCTGCATTCAAAATTTGATCTTCAAAGGGAGCTCTGTACTCACATGGCTCTCCATCTTATATTCCTAATCTCATTAAATAGTCTCAATTTTAATACTTTAACCAATATGACATTGAACACAACTTAAAAATAAGACGGCTCTCTCTTAAGTAAGGAATCCTACAAAATCATTTAAATGGCCACAACTCTCTCTTTATTCTTTTCCAAAATTTCCTTATAAGTCACTTGTGGGAGATGAAGCTTCCACCCTTACATGGAGCTTTAGCACAAATACTATTCTCTCAATCATGTATGATTATACCAATAATTTTAAAATTATTTTTATTTTTCTCTGAAACTGGTTAGCAAACCTTATTTCTGAAGCTAGATACCTCCAATATAATATAAAAGAATCTATAAACAATAATGAGTGAAATGTATGTTTTCTAATTTACTGCTTCAGAAAAGAAGGAATCATTATTGCATAGGTCAATATTTTTTACTGGATTATTAAGCTTCTGCTGAGTTGTCAGCTGTAGTATTGAGCCATATTTTTGTGCAAAGTTAGGACTTTCTTTTTACCATCAGGCAATCGCTCAGATGTTCCACTGAGAGGAAAGCACTTGTGACTGCCTTTAGCATACACAAATAGATGAGATCTGGCTTTATATAAATTAAATATTAAATATTTTAAATATAATTATAATTATCTATTTTAGCTCCATTTCCCCCTGTATTTTGTTCTATATATAGAACTTTCTCTTCTACGGTATTCACAGGCTACTAGAAGACATGGATGTCAGGCTCTTCAACCTGTCTCTCTTCAATATTAGTATTTTTGTTCTTATTAGCGGTTTCCTGAAATCTGGGTTACAACATTGCTCAAAAAAAATAATAATAATAAAAAAAAATCTTTAATATTCTCTAATATTGAAGGGGAGGAACACCTGGCAGAAGAAAACTGTATCTTGAGCAGTCACACTTTTGCTAAGATGATCACACGACGCCTTTGCCAAAGGCACTTCCTGCAAAGACCACAGCCAAAGTGGTGGGCTGAGAGACCTCCCCGTGCTTGAGGAGAAAAAGGAAGCAAAGAGAGAAGTGGGGAGGATTCAGGCAAGTAGCAGCTCTCATGCGGTCACTGTGCACAAATCCTGTTACTATCCAAAGCACCTCACCAGCCAAAAACAAAGCCCACTAGTAGTTGCCATTGAGTCCAACATCACAGAGGCCAAGCAGGCTTGGAGGCATGATCCTTCCTCCGGGCCTTTTCCTGGCCTATTCCTAAAAGCTGCACACCTGCTGCCTCTTGGGGACCTAGGGAACTGCAGCGGCCACCTGCCTGCCACGGCCACGCACCTGGAGCACTGCAGGACTGGCTGCTGAGGGAGGGCTTTTGACCCCCTTGCTGTCAGAGTGAGGCACTTCCACAAGGGAAAAAGGTCTTTCTGACTTTACAATCAGCCGTGATATGCTGTACTGAACGTGGCGCGCCCGGCCCAGTTTTATGCTGACTTCAGCCCTTACTTTGCTTACATATCTCCTGAGGGTGGAGATTTACATCTTACAAGGCATTCTTGTACTGAGACCTTATTCAGATGTTGGAGCATTTCAGAGTGCTCAAATCTACTGGTAACTTTATCTGGGGAATCAGTCTTTACTGTAATATCTGCTTCAGTCTCAGAAAATAGAGGAAACACATTTTCTTTAATTCTGATTCCCCTTTCCTTTAATGTTGATTTCCCGTTTCAATTTCCTTTCCTTTCATTCCAATACCTTTTAAACTTACAATTACAGATCTTTAAGAGATAAATAAATGTAAAAGCACAAGCCATGAACACACTGCAAACTGACAGAAATACAAGCAGACCAGACAGCATGGAATTAAATGAACAAAAATGGCCAGTTTATTCACTGGAACAGTTATGCATTACACTGTAATTTCAATTTGAACATAAAGATGTAAGAATCAGTATATTGGCTTTTTTAATTATTTTCTTCGGCACTAGAGTGTTTTTCCCAACCATTTGACTGCATGATCATATTACACATGTTACAAGCACAGACTTTATGAATCCCTCACAAGGCATTAATCTGGGATTGTCTACAAGGACAGGAAAGAGTTAACATGGGAATTACTTCAATTTTAAAAACAAATGATGCATTTTTGGAAACAAGAATTATTTAACTTTTTTTTTTGCCATTTTCTTCTTTTTTCTTTTTTTTTCTTTTTTTTCCTTTTTTTTTTTTTTTTGCTCTGCTTTTAGCATAAAGAAGCAACAAGAAGAGTTTCCATTATTCAGTCTTTAGCAAATGAACATATATACTTTCATATTCTTCACCATCTAGAAACACTTCATCATTTAACCCAAGAAGGCAGGACAACATAATGTCAATTCAAATAGGATTAGCTGAGTTATCACAGCAGAAAACATACTGTATACAAATTTGTGTTTGTCACAATGTCCACCAATGTTAAAACTCTTTTGAAAGGAACACAGCAATCTGTATGGTCAATTAGATACAGAACATCATGCAAATGGAAACATTCAATAGATTACAAAAGTCACAAAACATCAGTTTTCATTTTTTAAAGTTGTTTACAAAGGATCAAGTTAATTAACCCTTTAACAGTCAGACCACAGGGCTGAAAAACAATAGGGCAATAACTAATAAAATGGACTTAATTTATCCACTGGTATAGCACACAGAGCCATACCTGTGGATGGGGAGGGAAAAAAAAAAAAAAAAAAAAAAAGCTAGATTACTCTTATTTCTTATTCACAGCTGATGGAATAACAACTAAGCTAGCAAGCCAGTCTACTCAAAAATTTTATCAATTACTTGTTTTCGATGATTTCCAAAATACTCTTGAAATCAAGTAACTGTATAATTTGGTTTACAAATGCTGAGAAAAAAACACTCTTCTCCACTGTTTCTTTTACAGCAAATAATGATAATCAAAACAAATATGGCGCTTCATGGAAAGACACTTCTGAAACAAAGCCCTGTCACCCAGAGTCTGCTTGCACATTGACTCCAGTCATGGAATATAGGATTTTTGCTTTACCCTTTGTCGGTTTGTCACTCAATTGCCATTATACTTCATGAAAGGGATTTTCAAGAACTCCACAGGAAACAGATTAAAATCCAATAAGGATTTAAGCCATGCACCTCAGAATGAAAGATACAGAGTCAGTGATAGTCCTCTTGCCTTTCTAACATGAGAAATATGCAGATCACACAAGAATTAAGAATTTTCTAGCTTAATTATGGATATGGAAAAGCTACATGATGTTAAGAATCTCATGCACGCATTTTATGTTGCATATTTAGATGCATTTATGCCTGAAGGCAAAAGGCAATTGCTTTTTTTTGTTGTTGTTTCTTTCCACAGGATGCTTAACTATATTAAAAAAACAAAACAAAACAAAACAAAAAAAACCTTAATGGTTAAAAATAGTCTGAATACTGTATATCCCTTTCAGACTCACTGCACACACAGCAAGCAAGGGAAAACTGAAGAAAAGTGATGACCGGAATTTTTAAAGAGGTAACTATAGCAATTACCATTACTTCCAAGGTAAAACATCAGTGTCTGCCATTTTCAAACACAGATTTCCTAAGTAGAGAGAAATTTTACAATAACCTATGTGGATGCACATCTTCCATCAGAGAAAGGGAACAGCCCTCAGAAGGGTTGATGCAATCTATACCTGATGGTGATGATGAATCCAGCTATAGCGGAACTGGCAGCGCAACTCTTGACACTGGCATGGCACGCTGAGCAATAAGGTTGGTATCAAAGTAAGGGCCCAGGCTCCTGGGCATTGTTCCCAGCCTGCTGAGGACTGGTCCATATTTTATAAACAGCTGTACTTCGGTGTTTGCAACCTAACTAGCACGAGCAGCCTTTGTAGGTGAGGTCACGTTGCATAAGTGAGGTTATATTTTGTAACATAATCTTTCTGTTAATGCTTTAATATGGTAAATGGCTTAATCAAGTTATCAATCTTTCAAAATCAAAAGTAAACTGAAGGTCATCTTGGCATTAAGAGTTGCAGCATTACATTAGTTATAGTTCACTCTATGAGCCCTACTGTACAGCTATGGTTACATTAATTTACCGTGAAAAATATGGATGAAGCAAGCACAGAAGTGCCAACCTGTCAGTCAGAAAGAATATCACTATCGCCTCCACATAGAAGGCAGAAACTTCCATATGATTAGCATGAGAAATGATAATATTTCCTCTTTCTGTAAAAGCTTCTATTAACCTTCTGATAGAAAATATATTTTCCATACTATTATATCTTACATCTTTCATTCCCCTTATAATTAAATCTTTTTTTCTTTTTTTTTTTTGTTTTTAATTTTCCACACATTTCCTATAACTGGATTTCCAGACTTTTATCATTTCACTGAACAAACAATATTTTTTTCCACTGCATTGGAAAATAAAACCCAAAACAGAATGCTGCAGAAATGAAAAGGCTATTCTAAATCCAAGGAAATTTCAAGGCCATCACAGAGAACAAAAACTACATTTCAGTAGTATGCATGTGTCCTGCTTAGGACACATTTCAGCAGTTCTGAGTACACGCAACCATTAGGCAATATATATACCCTTTTCTTCTTAATCTTTAAAAACCAGGATAGATAACACCACATCATAAATTAATTTTAAACGGACAGAGTATAGTATTTTGCAACTCAAAACAAACATACAAAAAAACACTTTTGTGTCTGGTTTTGTCTATGTAAATATTTCCTACAAAATATCTCACAAAGTTGCATGCTACCAATCACTATATAATAAAGAAGAGTTTATCATCTCAAGTTCAAGATATGTATTTTATTTTGTACTGGTTAACTGACAAAAGTTGTCCCAGGGACCTACACAGTTCTGTAACTTACAATGCAATAACTACAGCCTTTTGTACATTTAAGTTGGTTTGTTTCTAGTTCTCTTAAATTTCCAACATTTACTTGTTTTATTACATATTAAAAAATGCAAATTGAAAACTTAGAAATGAAGAATTTAAAGCTTAAGAGAATAAAAAATTTAATAAACCCACTTATTTCTATAAAACAGGACCACAATTTCTATACCATTAAATGCTCTTGATCCACATGGACATACCAGTACAATGTTTCAGTTTCCCAAAGTTGCTCTGCAAATTACAATCGGAAACAAATACGTTACTAAACAAATGTTCCACTATATCATTTTTTCATAAATTCATATCTATATAGAAAGGAAATGTATTTCACTGAATTTCTGTTTAACTAAAATTCAGGGCAAATGTTTGCTTTGGATATGAAAATAGGAAAAACTATTCCAAGTACAGCCCGCGGTAACTCTGTTCAATGTGCAATGCAAATTCTTTTTTTTTTGTTTAACAATATACAGAGCTTTCTTTGTTGGACGTAGCCATTGCCATGTTTTACAAGGTAACTATACCAGTCTGGCAATGTCAGGAATTGTGAGGTGCTCTTGAAAGGCAACATTTGCCTCAGACAATTTTTTATTTTATTTTTTTAATTTTAATAAAAATCAAAATAGCAGCTAATCTCCATGTCAAACTATGATAGCGCTGAACAAGTTTTACTTGACTTTCGTATGACAAGACAACACATCAGTTAAGTACGATACTAAATAGTTATGTAAATGTATACAAGAAGAACCATGTGAACTGCATGGAAACTTAAGCAGAAACACTGGTGAGTATTGTCTGTTTGATCTGGTTAGAATTTGATATCAGTCTGTTCCTATTTTCCCCACCTTTGACTCTGAATGTTTTGTTACAATAGCTCAGCTGCTTTGCCAAGGCTGTACGACATACACAGTTGATTACATAGAATATTTCTATTTACAGCACCTTCATTACTGGTACCATGGAAATAATGATTGTTAGGCACACTGATTGGTCACTGATTCTTTCCTCTGCTGATGTTTTGTGTATCATAACATTTGGTAAGCACTGTTGCTAACAGAAGACTGAGTTCATTTTCTCAGATTCAGGCAGAATATAAAAGAATTATTCCAACCATATCTGCAGCATTTTTTTTTCCAGCTGCTCTGTACCTAAGGCTGTACTGTGCTTCT